TCGCGCTGTCCCCTGTGTCTTCCTTGGTTTCCCAAAGGGCTCCTCTGACTTCACCTTTTACCACCCTCCCTCCCACCGGTTCTTTGACTCTCGTGACGTCCGTTTCGACGAGTCCGTCCCCTACTACGTCCGGTACCCCTGTCGAGGTCTCCCGATTCCCCCCCCTCCCCTCTTCATGGCTCCAGCTCCTCCTCCTTCCGCCCCTGCTCCTCCGGTGCCCCCCCCTGTCCCCGCTCCGTCTGGTGTGTCCCACGCTACTCCCCCTCCCTCGGTACCCCCCCGTGTCTCTCCTCCTTCCCCACAGTCGTCCTCACAGCCTCCGCAGCAGCCGCCGGAGCTTCCTTTACCGGCCACTGCGGACTCTGAGGGTGTTGGTGCTCGAGGTGAGGGCTCTGGGGGTGCTCGCTCTGGGGGTGCTGGCGTTAAGAGCTGTTCGTGCGCGTACAGGGGCAGCCCGTTCTGAGGGTGCTGGAGCTGGTGGTGTTTCTGGAGCTGGAGAGTCTGGGGCTGGTGCTGGTGCCACTGGAGGCACCACGACTGGGGGTGCGGGTGCGCCTCCTACTGGTGCTGGTCGTGCTGCCGCAGGAGGTACTCGCTCTGGGGGTGCTCAGCCGGGTAGTGCTGCGGACGGAGCCGGTTCTTCTGCTGCGTCTCCTGACACCACTCCTCCTCCTCACCCCTACCCGACTCATTACCAGACCCTTCTTCATCTTGAGCGTGAGGAGCAGCAGCGTTTGGAGCGTGAGAGGTCGGAGGTTCAGCAGCGGGTGGAGCGTGAGAGGTTGGAGTTGCAGCAGCAGCAGCAGCAGCAGCAGCAGCAGCAGCAGCGGCAGCAGCAGCAGCAGCAGCAGGAGCAGCAGCAGCAGCAGCAGCAGCAGCAGCCGCAGCAGCAGTAGCAGCAGCGGTCGCAGCAGCCGGAGCAGCCTCCGGCCCCTGTTTCTGGCCTTCGGGCCCTTGGTCTCCCCTCCTCTCCTCCCGTGTTCGGTCCTACGTTTCCTCCTCCGGACTCAGCTCCGGCTGTGTTCCCTCGTTCCCAGTCTTCTCCGTCTCCCCCTCCACTCGCCCACACTTGGACCTCTCGTCCTCCTCGTGCTCGTCCCTCGTCCCTTGTCACTGAACTCCGTACCGCTTTGTTTCGTTCTAGTCCTCCTCGTCCTCCTCAGTCTGTTCTTCCTCGTCCTCCTGAGTTGTCCCTCACTGCCTCCCTGTCCACTCCGGTCACTGACTACTACCGCACGTACCGCCCCGCTCTCTCTCGTGTTCTCGCCTCTCTTGTTACAGACCCTCGTGCCTCTCCTTCCTCCGTCGCGGTCCTCACTGCCGCTGTCACTGACTTTACTGCTACGCGTTGCCTTGACTACGCCACTCGTGTTGTGGCCGCTCCTCCTGTCCGTCCTCTGTCCGCCGGGGGTGAGTCTGCCCTTGGCTGTGACGTCCTAGAGGATAGACAGTTTGAGCTAGAGTTCCTGGCAGCTGCTTCGCCTCATCTCTGTGCCATGCTCCTCGCTCCTGAGGGAGACCCCGACGCTCCTGACATACCTACTCCTCGCACTTATGCTGAGGCAGTGTTAGGGCCTTGGGCCTCTCAGTGGAGAGCTGCCATGGACGCAGAGATGGCCTCCTACAGGTCCACAGGCACTTACGTTGACGAGGTTCCCCCCCCAGGGGCGAACATCGTTGACGGCATGTGGATCTTCAAGGTGAAGCGACCGCCGGGATCTCCCCCAGTCTTCAAGGCACGCTACGTGGCTAGAGGGTTCAGTCAGCGTGAGGGAGTTGACTTCTTTCAGACCTTCGCGCCCACCCCGAAGATGACCACTCTTCGGGTGTTACTGCACGTAGCAGCGCAGAGAGACTACGAGCTACACTCTCTTGACTTCTCCACTGCCTTCCTCCAGGGCCGCCTACACGAGGAGATCTGGCTGCGCTGTCCTCCGGGCTTCACTGGCACTTTCCCGCCAGGGACCCAGTGGAGCCTCAGACGACCGGTCTACGGTCTCCGCCAGGCACCCCGTGAGTGGCACGACACTCTCCGCTCGACTCTCTCCGACCTCAGGTTTGAGCCGTCTTCCGCTGACCGTCGCTGTTTGTTCGTCGTGGGCGCACACCTTTCTTCGTTCTCGTCTACGTTGACGACCTGGTTTTTGCCACAGCCGACACAGTTGCACTGGCGGAGGTGAAGTCCGAACTGCAGAAGAGACACACCTGCACTGACCTTGGGGAACTGCGCCGCTACCTTGGCCTGCAGATCTCCAGGGACAGAGCCGCTCGCACCATCACTCTGACTCAGTCACACATGGTGCAGCAGGTCCTTCAGCGGTTCGGGCTTCAGCACTCTTCTCCTACACCCACCCCTCTTGATGTAGACCACAGACTCACTGGGCCTTTTCCTGACAAGCCGTTCGAGTCCAGTGGTCCCTACGCAGAGCTGGTGGGCTGCCTCATGTACCTGATGACGTGTACTCGCTCGGACCTCGCCTCCCCTCTTAGCATCCTTTCTCGCTTTGTTGCGACTGGGAGACACCGTCCTGTTCACTGGGCGGCGGCTAAGAGGGTGGCGAAGTACCTCGGCGCGACATCAGACATGGGGCTTGTACTTGGAGGGACACAGCCAGTTGTACTCACCGGTCACTGCGACTCCTCCTACGCCGACGACGTTGAGACTCAGAGGTCTACACAGGGTTACTGTTTCAGCCTGGGCTCTGGAGCTATTTCGTGGAGGTCTACTCGGTCCTCCCCTGTTGCGACTTCTACCGCAGAGGCCGAGATCTACGCTGGAGCCCTTGCCGCACAGGAGCTACGCTGGTTGACCTTCTTGCTCACTGACGTTGGTGAGCGGCCGAGCTCTGCACCGACCTTGTTTGCTGACAACAAGGCGATGATTCTCCTGTGTCGTGAGCCTCGACTGGAGAGCAGAGTGAAGCACATCGACGTCAGGTACTTCCTCCTTCGAGAGTTGCAGCGACGCGGACAGGCTCGTCTGGACTTTGTGGCCTCCGAGGCCAACACTGCAGACATCTTCACCAAGGCTCTTCAGCCTTGTGACCACCACCGGTTTTGTCTGCAGTTAGGTCTCGTTGAGACTGGGTCTAGTAGACTGCAGTAGTGATTTCTTGCATCTTGTGTGTGTGTACCATATATATATTAGCTTATACACTCTTGAGCTGGCCTTGTGGCCCCTTGTTTGTGCTCAGACTGTGTGGTGACGTTGTGATCCACCCTGAGCTTTGTTTCCTCTCTTGCTTGCGACTGGTCTTGTGACCTTAGGTTGCGATTCTTGTTGTTTGGCATTCCCCACTTAGGCTATGGGGGTGTGTCAAATGTTATAGCCTTTAGTGGGTCATGCTATATGGGGTACAAACAGTTAGGGTTAGGTACTTGTACTCCAACACAATCAATGCAACCCATTCCGCTGTTTCTCAGTTACTAAGACTATCCTATCCAAAATTCTCACTCTAACAAGGGTGCTAACATATGGACAGCCAATAAACTCGTTCAACTGGGTTGAGACACCATAATTTTAAAAGCATTTTTTTTTACGAACTATGCAAAACCATATTTTGTGTTTTCGTCATCCACTGACCGGATGAGAAGCCATGTAGGCGAACACATGGGTAAAATGGCCATATAGCACGATCTGAGGGCAACGGACATCACATCGATTAGTTCAAATTACTAACCACACCAACATATTATCTGTTCGATGCAACTACTTAAGCAGCTTTGTGGGGCTGCTGGTGAGCGTCATGCTGTCGTATTTGATCAACACTATAACCATGAAGAGCGTCGGCAAGGCAGCTTATACACTCCCTACCACAACCATACCTCGAGAACAATGCTCCACCTACCCCATGCCTGTGCGCATCTATCCCATCTTTCTACATGCGTTCGTGAGGCTGTAGGTGGCCGCCATGCTCCCATACTGGTTTACAGCCATGCCTTTGAAAAGCATTGGCAAGGTAGCTTACTCCCCTTTCCCCCTTGCCTACTTCCCCTTTACCCCACAGACATTTGTGGGGCTACAGGAAGTGCATCGGACGCTCTTCATTCGCGAGCGCAGATGACCGATTATGCTCGCAACCCTCCCACGCCCTTGCTGGCTTGGCAATAGGCCCAGACAAGCGCAGCCACATGACCTGGGGGAAGAAAAACGCTAGGAACGAGCCCTTCCAACCCCAAAACGCAAAAGGATCCGCACACGTGCAGGAAGTGAAGCGGCCGCTATTCATTCGGCGAGCGCCGATTACTGATGATGCTCGCAACCCTCCCACGCCCTTGCTGGCTTGGTAATAGGCCCAGACAAGCGCATCCACGTGACCTGGGGGAATAAAAACGCCAGGAACGAGCGCTCCCCCCCCCAAAACGCGGAAGGATCCGCACACGTGCAGGAAGTGAAGCGGCTGCTCTTCATTCGTGAGCGCCGATGACCGATGATGCTCGCAACCCTCCCACGCCCTTGCTGGCTTGGTAATAGGCATAGAAAAGCGCAGTCACCTGACCCGTCGGAAGAAAAACTCTCGGAACGAGCGCTTCCAACCCCAAAACGCGGAAGAATCCGCACATGTGCAGGAAGTTCAGCGGGCACTCTTCATTCGCGAGCGCCGATGACCGACGATGCTCGCAAGCCTCCCATGCCCTTTCTGGCTTGGTAATAGGCCCAGACAAGCGCCGCCACATGACCCGGCGGAAGAAAAACGCTCGGAACGAGCACTTCCAGCCCCAAAACGCGGAAGCATCGCACATGTGCAAGAAGTGCAGCGGGCGCTTTTCATTCGCGAGCGCCGATGACGGACGATGCTCGCAACCCTCCCACGCCCTTGCCGGATTGGTAATAGGCCCAGACAAGCGCAGCCACATGACCCGGCGGAAGAAAAACGCTCTGAACGAGCGCTGCTAGCCTCAAAATGTGCAAGGATCCGCACATGTGGAGGAAGTGCAGCGGGCGCTCATTATTCGCGAGCGCCGGTGACTAATGATGAGCGTTGTTCTTCCACCGGGCCATGTGGCTGCGCTTGTCTGTGCCATCACCCCGCCCTATTCTCCCGCTTTCCATCACCCCGCCCCATTCTCCCTCTTTCCATCACCCCGCCCCATTCTCCCTCCATCCATCACCCCGCCCCATTCTCCCTCCTTCCATCACCCCACCCCATTCTCCCGCATTCCATCACCCCGCCCCATTCTCCCGCTTTCCATCACCCTGCCCCATTCTCCCGCTTTCCATCACCCCGCCCCATTCTCTCGCTTGCCATCACCCCACCCCATTCTCCCACTTTCCATCACCCCGCCCCATTCTCCCGCTTTCCATCACCCCGCCCCATTCTCCCGCTTTCCATCACCCCGCCCCATTCTCCCGCTTTCCATCACCCCACACCATTCTCCCTCCTTCCCATCACCCCGCCCCATTCTCCCGCTTTCCATCACCCCGCCCCATTCTCCCGCCTTCCATCACCCAGCCCCATTCTCCGGCTTTCAATCACCCCGCCCCATTCTCCGCTTTCCATCACCCCTCCCCATTCTCCCACTTTCCATCACCCCGCCCCATTCTCCCGCTTTCCATCACCCCGGCCCATTCTCCCGCTTTCCATCACCCCGCCCCATTCTCCCTCCTTCCATCTCCCCGCCCCATTCTCCCTCCTTCCATCACCCCGCCCCATTCTCCCGCTTTCAATCACCCTGCCCCATTCTCCCGCTTTCCATCACCCCGCCCTATTTTCCCGCTTTCCATCACCCTGCCCCATTCTCCCGCTTTCCATCACCCCGCCCCATTCTCCCGCTTTCCAATAACCCGCTTTCCATCACCCCGCCCCATTCTCCCTCCTTCCATCACCCCGCACCCTTCTCCCTCCTTCCATCACCCCGTCCCATTCTCCCGCTTTCCATCACCCCGCCCCATTCTCCCGCTTTCCATCACCCCGCCCTATTCTCCTGCTTTCCATCACCCCGCCCCATTCTCCCGCTTTCCATCACACCGCCCCATTCTCCCGCTTTCCATCACCCCGCCCCATTCTCCCGCTTTCCATCACCCCGCCCCATTCTCCCGCTTTCCATCTCCCCGCCCCATTCTCCCGCTTTCCATCACCCCGCCCCATTCTCCCTCTTTCCATCACCCCGCCCCATTCTCCCTCCTTCCATCACCCCGCCCCATTCTCCCTCCTTCCATCACCCCGTCCAATTCTCCCGCTTTCCATCACCCCGCCCCATTCTCCCGCTTTCCATCACCCCGCCCCATTCTCCCGCTTTCCATCACCCCGCCCCATTCTTCCGCTTTCCATCACCCCGCCCCATTCTCCCGCTTTCCATCACCCCGCCCCATTCTCCCGCTTTCCATCACCCCGCCCCATTCTCCCGCTTTCCATCACCCCGCCCCATTCTCCGGCTTTCAATCACCCCGCCCCATTCTCCGCTTTCCATCACCCCTCCCCATTCTCCCACTTTCCATCACCCCGCCCCATTCTCCCGCTTTCCATCACCCCGGCCCATTCTCCCGCTTTCCATCACCCCGCCCCATTCTCCCTCCTTCCATCTCCCCGCCCCATTCTCCCTCCTTCCATCACCCCGCCCCATTCTCCCGCTTTCAATCACCCTGCCCCATTCTCCCGCTTTCCATCACCCCGCCCTATTTTCCCGCTTTCCATCACCCTGCCCCATTCTCCCGCTTTCCATCACCCCGCCCCATTCTCCCGCTTTCCAATAACCCGCTTTCCATCACCCCGCCCCATTCTCCCTCCTTCCATCACCCCGCACCCTTCTCCCTCCTTCCATCACCCCGTCCCATTCTCCCGCTTTCCATCACCCCGCCCCATTCTCCCGCTTTCCATCACCCCGCCCTATTCTCCTGCTTTCCATCACCCCGCCCCATTCTCCCGCTTTCCATCACACCGCCCCATTCTCCCGCTTTCCATCACCCCGCCCCATTCTCCCGCTTTCCATCACCCCGCCCCATTCTCCCGCTTTCCATCTCCCCGCCCCATTCTCCCGCTTTCCATCACCCCGCCCCATTCTCCCTCTTTCCATCACCCCGCCCCATTCTCCCTCCTTCCATCACCCCGCCCCATTCTCCCTCCTTCCATCACCCCGTCCAATTCTCCCGCTTTCCATCACCCCGCCCCATTCTCCCGCTTTCCATCACCCCGCCCCATTCTCCCGCTTTCCATCACCCCGCCCCATTCTTCCGCTTTCCATCACCCCGCCCCATTCTCCCGCTTTCCATCACCCCGCCCCATTCTCCCGCTTTCCATCACCCCGCCCCATTCTCCCGCTTTCCATCACCCCGCCCCATTCTCCCTCTTTCCATCACCCCGCCCCATTCTCCCGCTTTCCATCACCCCGCCCTATTCTCCCTCCTTCCATCACCCCGCCCCATTCTCCCTCCTTCCATCACCCCGTCCCATTCTCCCGCTTTCCATCACCCCGCCCCATTCTCCCGCTTTCCATCACCCCGCCCCATTCTCCTGCTTTCCATCACCCCGCCCCATTCTCCCGCTTTCCATCACCTCGCCCCATTCTCCCGCTTTCCATCACCCCGCCCCATTCTCCCGCTTTCCATCACCCCGCCCCGTTCTCCCGCTTTCCATCACCCCGCCCCGTTCTCTCTCCTTCCATCACCCCGCCCCATTCTCCCGCTTTCCATCACCCCGCCCCATTCTCCCGTTTTCCATCATCCCGCCCCATTCTCCCGCTTTCCATCACCCCGCCTCATTCTCCCGCTTTCCATCACCCGCCCCATTCTCCCGCTTTCCATTACCCCGCCCCATTCTCCCTCCTTCCATCACCCCGCCCCATTCTCCCTCCTTCCATCACCCCGCCCCATTCTCCCGCTTTCCATCACCCCGCCCCATTCTCCCGCTTTCCATCACCCCGCCCCATTCTCTTGCTTTCCATCACCCCGCCCCATTCTCCCGCTTTCCATCACCCCGCCCCATTCTCCCGCTTTCCATCACCCCGCCCCATTCTCCCGCTTTCCATCACCCCGCCCCCTTCTCCCACTTTCCATCACCCCGCCCCATTCTCCCGCTTTCCATCACCCCGCCCCATTCTCCCGCTTTCCATCACCCCGCCCCATTCTCCCTCCTTCCATCACCCCGCCCCATTCTCCCTCCTTCCATCACCCCGCCCCATTCTCCCGCTTTCTATCACCCCGCCCCATTCTCCCGCTTTCCATCATCCGCCCCATTCTCCCGCTTTTCATCACCCCGCCCCATTCTCCCGCTTTCCATCACCCCGCCCCATTCTCCCGCTTTCCATCACCCCGCCCCATTCTCCCGCTTTCCATCACCCCGCCCCATTCTCCCGCCTTCAATCACCCCGACCCATTCTCCCGCTTTCCATCACCCCGCCCCATTCTGCCGCTTTCCATCACCCCGCCCAATTCTCCCTCCTTCCATCACCCCGCCCCATTCTCCCGTTTTCCATCACCCCGCCCCATTCTCCTGCTTTCCATCACCCCGCCCCATTCTCCCTCCTTCCATCACCCCGCCCCATTCTCCCTCCTTCCATCACCCTGCCCCATTCTCCCGCTTTCCATCACCCCGCCCCATTCTCCCGCTTTCCATCACCCCGCTCCATTCTCCCGCTTTCCATCACCCCGCCCCATTCTCCCGCTCTCCATCACCCTGCCCCATTCTCCCTCCTTCCATCACCCCGCCCCATTCTCCCGCTTTCCATCACCCCGCCCCATTCTCCCGCTTTCCATCACCCCGCCCCCTTCTCCCACTTTCCATCACCCCGCCCCATTCTCCCGCTTTCCATCACCCCGCCCCATTCTCCCTTCTTCCATCACCCCGCCCTATTCTCCCTCCTTCCATCACCCCGCCCCATTCTCCCGCTTTCCATCACCCCGCCCTATTCTCCCGCTTTCCATCACCCCGCCCCATTCTCCCGCTTTCCATCACCCCGCCCCATTCTCCCGCTTTCCGTCACCCCGCCCCATTCTCCCGCTTTCCATCACCCCGCCCCATTCTCCCTCCTTCCATCACCCCGCCCCATTCTCCCGCTTTCCATCACCCCGCCCCATTCTCCCGCTTTCCATCACCCCGCCCCATTCTCCCTCCTTTCATCACCCCGCCCCATTCTCCCGCTTTCCATCACCCTGCCCCATTCTCCCGCTTTCCATCACCCCGCCCCATTCTCCCTCTCTCCATCACCCCGCCCCATTCTCCCGCTTTCCATCACCCCGCCCCATTCTCCCGCTTTCCATCACCCCGCCCCCTTCTCCCTCCTTCCATCACCCCGCCCCATTCTCCCGCTTTCCATCACCCCGCCCCATTCTCCCTCCTTCCATCACCCCGCCCCATTCTCCCGCTTTCCATCACCCCGCCCCATTCTCCCGCTTTCCATCACCCCGCCCCTTTCTCCCGCTTTCCATCACCCCGCCCCATTCTCCCGCTTTCCATCACCCCGCCCCATTCTCCCGCTTTCCGTCACCCCGCCCCATTCTCCCGCTTTCCATCACCCCGCCCCATTCTCCCTCCTTCCATCACCCCGCCCCATTCTCCCGCTTTCCATCACCCCGCCCCATTCTCCCGCTTTCCATCACCCCGCCCCATTCTCCCTCCTTTCATCACCCCGCCCCATTCTCCCGCTTTCCATCACCCTGCCCCATTCTCCCGCTTTCCATCACCCCGCCCCATTCTCCCTCTCTCCATCACCCCGCCCCATTCTCCCGCTTTCCATCACCCCGCCCCATTCTCCCGCTTTCCATCACCCCGCCCCCTTCTCCCTCCTTCCATCACCCCGCCCCATTCTCCCGCTTTCCATCACCCCGCCCCATTCTCCCTCCTTCCATCACCCCGCCCCATTCTCCCGCTTTCCATCACCCCGCCCCATTCTCCCGCTTTCCATCACCCCGCCCCTTTCTCCCGCTTTCCATCACCCCGCCCCATTCTCCCGCTTTCCATCACCCCGCCCCATTCTCCTGCTTTCCATCACCCCGCCCCATTCTCCCTCCTTCCATCACCCCGCCCCATTCTCCCGCCTTCCATCTGTATGGTACCCATGAGCCATGTTTGGGTACCCATGAGCCATGTATGAGTACCCATGAGCCATATATGGGTACCCATTGGCCATGTATGGTACCCATGAGCCATGTACGGGTACCCATGAGCCATGTACGGGTACCCATGAGCCATGTATGGGTACCCATGAGCCATGTATGGGTATCCATGAGCCGTGTATGGGTACGCATGAGCCATTTATGGGTACCCATGAGCCATATATGGAACCCATGAGCCATGTATGGGTACCCATGAGCCATGTCTAGGTACCCATGAGCCATGTATGGGTACCCATGAGCCATTTATGGTAACCATGAGCCATATATGGGTACCCATGAGTCATGTATGGTACCCATGAGCCATGTACGAGTACCCATGAGCCATCTATGGGTACCCATGAACCATGTCTGGGTACCCATGAGCCATGTATGGGTACCCATGAGCCATGTATGGGTACCCATGAGCCATTTATGGGTAGCCGTGAGCCATGTATGGGTACCCATGAGCCATGTCTCAATACGCATGAGCCATGTATGGGTACCCATGAGCCACGTATGGGTACCCATGAGCCATTTATGGGTACCCATGAGCCACGTATGGGTACCCGTGAGCCATGTATGGTACCCATGAGCCATGTATGGTACCCATGAGCCATGTATGGTAGCCATGAGCCATGTATGGGTCCCCATGAGCCATGTATGGTACCCATGAGCCATGTATGGGTACCCATGAGCCATGTATGGTACCCATGAGCCATGTATGGTAGCCATGAGCCATGTATGGTACCCAGAAGCCATGTATGGTACCCATGAGCCATGTATGAACTCATGAGCCATGTATGGGTACCCATGAGCCATGTATGGGTACCCATGAGCCATGTATGGGTACTCATGAGCCATGTATGGTACCCATGAGCCATGTATGGTAGCCATGTGCCATGTATGGTACCCAGAAGCCATGTATGGTACCCATGAGCCATGTATGAACTCATGAGCCATGTATGGGTACCCATGAGCCGTGTATGGGTACGCATGAGCCATGTATGGGTACCCATGAGCCATGTATGGGTACCCATGAGCCATGTATGAGTACCCATGAGCCATGTATGGGTACCCATGGGCCATGCATGGTACCCATTAGCCATGTACGAGTACCCATGAGCATGTATGGGTACCTATGAGCCATGTATGGTAACCATGGGCCATGTATGGTACCCATGAGCCATGTATGGGTACCCATGAGCATGTATGCGTACCCATGAGCATGTATGGGTACCCATGAGCCATGTATGGTAACCATGAGCCATGTATGGTACCCATGAACCATGTATGGGTACCCATGAGCCATGTATGGGTACCCATGATCCATGTATTGTACCCATGAGCCATGTATGGGTACCCATGAGCCATGTATGGTACCCATGAGCCATGTATGGTACCCATGAGCCATGTATGGTACCCATGAGCCACGTATGGGTACCCATGAGCCATTTATGGGTACCCATGAGCCACGTATGGGTACCCAAGAGCCACCTATGGGTACCCATGATCCATGTATGGTACCTATGAGCGATGTATGGGTACCCATGAGCCATGTATGGGTACCCATGAGCCATGTATGGGCACCCATGAGCCATGTATGTGTACCCATGAGCCATGTATGGTACCCACGAGCCATGTATGGGTACCCATGAGCATGTATGGGTACCCATGAGCCATGTATGGTAGCCATGAGCCATGTATGGTACCCAGGAGCCATGTATGGTATCCATGAGCCAGGTATGAACCCATGAGCCGTGTATGAGTACCCATGAGCCATTTATGGGTACCCATGAGCCACGTATGGGTACCCAAGAGCCACCTATGGGTACCCATGATCTATGTATGGTACCTATGAGTTATGTATGATACCCATGAGCCATGTATGGGTACCCATGAGCCATGTATGGGCACCCATGAGCCATGTATGTGTACCCATGAGCCATGTATGGTACCCACGAGCCATGTATGGGTACCCATGAGCATGTATGGGTACCCATGAGCCATGTATGGTAGCCATGAGCCATGTATGGTACCCAGGAGCCATGTATGGTATCCATGAGCCATGTATGAACCCATGAGCCATGTATGAGTACCCATGAGCCATTTATGGGTACCCATGAGCCACGTATGGGTACCCAAGAGCCACCTATGGGTACCCATGATCCATGTATGGTACCTATGAGCCATGTATGGGTACCCATGAGCCATGTATGGGTACCCATGAGCCATGTATGGGCACCCATGAGCCATGTATGTGTACCCATGAGCCATGTATGGTACCCATGAGCCATGGATGGGTACCCATGAGCCATGTATGGGTACCCATGAACCATGTATGGGTACCCATGAGCCATGTATGGTACCCATGAGCCATGTATGGGTACCCATGAGCCATTTATGGGTACCCATGAGCATGTATGGGTACCCATGAGCCATGTATGGTAGCCATGAGCCATGTATGGTACCCATGAGCCATGTATGGTACCCATGAGCCATGTATGAACCCCCATGAGCCATGCATGGGTACCCATGGGCCATGCATGGTACCCATGAGCCATGTACGAGTACCCATGAGCCATGTACGGGTACCCATGAGCCATGTCTGGGTACCCATGAGCCATGTATGGGTACCCATGAGCATGTATGGGTACCCATGAGCCATGTATTGTAACCATGAGCCGTGTATGGGTATCCATGAGCCATGTATGGGTACCCATGAGCCATGTATGGGTACCCATGAGCCATGTGTGGGTACCCATGAGCCATGTATGGGTACCCATGAGCATGTATGCGTACCCATGAGCCATGTATGGTACCTATGAGCCATGTATGGTACCCATGAGCCATGTATGTGTACCCATGAGCCATGTATGGTACCCATGAGCCATGTATGGTACCCATGAGCCATGTATGAACCCATGAGCCATGTATGAGTACCCATGAGCCATGTATGGGTACCCATGAGCCATGTATGGTACCCATGAGCCGTGTATGGGTACCCAAGAGCCATGTATGGGTACCCATGAGCCATGTATGGGTACCCACGAGCCATATATGGGTGCCCATGAGCCATGTATGGGTACCCATGAGCCATGTATGTGTACCCATGAGCCATGTATGGTACCCATGAGCCATGTATGGGTACCCATGAGCCATGTATGGTACCCATGAGCCTTGTCTGGGTACCCATGAGGATGTATGGGTACCCATGAGCCATGTATGGTAGCCATGAGCCATGTATGGTACCCATGAGCCATGTATGGTACCCATGAGCCATGTATGAACCCATGAGCCATGTATGAGTACCCATGAGCCGTGTATGGGTACCCATGGGCCAAGTATGGTACCCATGAGCCATGTACGGGTACCCATGAGCCATGTACGGGTACCCATGAGCCATGTATAGGTACCCATGAGCCATGTATGGGTACCCATGAGCATGTATGGGTACCCATAAGCCATGTATCGTAGCCATGAGCCATGTATGGTACCCATGAGCCATGTTTGAGTACCCATGAGCCATTTATGGTACCCATGAGCCATGTATGGGTACCCATGAGCCATGTGTGGGTATCCATAAGCCATGTATGGTACCCATGAGCCATGTATGGGTCCCCATGAGCCATATATGGTACCCATGAGCCATGTATGGGTACCCATGAGCCATGTATGTGTACCCATGAGCCATGTATGGTACCCATGAGCCATGTATGGGTACCCATGAGCCATGTATGGTACCCATGAGCCATGTATGGGTACCGATGAGCCATGTATGAGTACCCATGAGCCATGTATGGGTACCCATGAGCCATGTATGGGTACCCATGAGCCATGTGTGGGTACCCATGAGCCATGTATGGGTACCCATGAGCATGTATGCGTACCCATGAGCCACGTATGGTACCTATGAGCCATGTATGGTACCCATGAGCCATGTATGTGTACCCATGAGCCATGTATGGTACCCATGAGCCATGTATGGGTACCCATGAGCCATGTATGGGTACCCATGAGCCATGTATGGGTACCCATGAGCCATGTATGGGTACCCATGAGCCATTTATGGTACCCATGAGCCTTTTATGGGTACCCATGAGGATGTATGGGTACCCATGAGCCATGTATGGTAGCCATGAGCCATGTATGGTACCCATGAGCCATGTATGGTACCCATGAGCCATGTATGAACCCATGAGCCATGTATGAGTACCCATGAGCCATGTATGGGTACCCATGAGCCATGTATGGGTACCCATGAGCCATGTGTGGGTACCCATGAGCCATGTATGGGTACCCATGAGCATGTATGCGTACCCATGAGCCACGTATGGTACCTATGAGCCATGTATGGTACCCATGAGCCATGTATGTGTACCCATGAGCCATGTATGGTACCCATGAGCCATGTATGGGTACCCATGAGCCATGTATGGGTACCCATGAGCCATGTATGGGTACCCATGAGCCATGTATGGGTACCCATGAGCCATTTATGGTACCCATGAGCCTTTTATGGGTACCCATGAGGATGTATGGGTACCCATGAGCCATGTATGGTAGCCATGAGCCATGTATGGTACCCATGAGCCATGTATGGTACCCATGAGCCATGTATGAACCCATGAGCCATGTATGAGTACCCATGAGCCATGTATGGGTACCCATGAGCCATGTATGGGTACCCATGAGCCATGTGTGGGTACCCATGAGCCATGTATGGGTACCCATGAGCATGTATGCGTACCCATGAGCCACGTATGGTACCTATGAGCCATGTATGGTACCCATGAGCCATGTATGTGTACCCATGAGCCATGTATGGTACCCATGAGCCATGTATGGGTACCCATGAGCCATGTATGGGTACCCATGAGCCATGTATGGGTACCCATGAGCCATGTATGGGTACCCATGAGCCATTGATGGTACCCATGAGCCTTTTATGGGTACCCATGAGGATGTATGGGTACCCATGAGCCATGTATGGTAGCCATGAGCCATGTATGGTACCCATGAGCCATGTATGGTACCCATGAGCCATGTATGAACCCATGAGCCATGTATGAGTACCCATGAGCCATGTATGGGTACCCAAGTGCCATGTAATGTACCCATGAGCCATGTACGGGTACCCATGAGCCATGTACGGGTA